AAAGCTCGAATGTACGAGCGCTTCTGATTTTGGCGTACAAAATGCACAAAATGTTCTCCTTCTGTTCCATCTTCCTTTTTCGATATTTTTATATTTTGCTATCACTATGAACTATCATTAAGTCTCTTTTTCGTTTTGTGAGTAGTTCGTCTGGATATCTTTCTAGTTTCAGGTAATACAAAGAGCAACTACACAAGAAATTTTGGGACCTTTTTGCTACTATGACTCTGCACTATAAAATTGGTTATTGTAGAATACGTATGCAACTTGTATGAGAACAAACAAACGCTTATTTGCACTTCACAATCACTTAACGCGCTCTATGGTTAATACTCAAAGTCGAGCTCATTGTGTATTTGAACAATTGAATAGGACTTTGATCCTGACTATATATATCCATCCTATCCAGTGTTAAAAAACGATGGGATAGGAAAAACAAGAAAAAGCTGACTTTCCCTTTAGGCAGCAGAGAACAGCTCTCTCAGTTCTGGCGTTTGTGTGCCCAGTACTATCTGCGCTTTGTGATGTTGAAGTATCGGTAGTTCTTATGTTTTCTATCAAAGACAATATATTGCTTTTGAAAGGTTAAGAGAAGCTACATCATTTGATCTTAAATAAAGTACTCCACCGATAGCAATCTTATGATGCTGAACAATTTCGCAAGAAGAACAACCCTACTTAGTTCCTTATAAACATAAAAGTCGCTCGTAAATTCTCCAACTCTTCTCTGCTAGATTCTTGTGATTTGTGTGCTGTGAACATTCAACACATCTAATGCATATGTGCAACGCGATTTCTTTGGATAGTTCAGTCATCCTCTCATTTTTTTCTATCAAGGATGTAATTTTTGCCAACTGTCAGCACGCGAGTGCGTTGCGATTTCGCTTACAAGATAACGGTGATAAGACAATGTCGTGAGTTCTTTATTGTCTGTGCGAATGCTTCAAAATTCTTCCTTTTAGTCTTTCTTTCCTCATAGCATTTGCTTTTCCATTGTTTTTCTTTGCCATTTCACTTAATGCCAATTTTTTCCCATAGCCTATTGCTGTTCTTACTCTTTCTTGTTTTTCTGATTCGCTCAACTATATCTCATGAATGTTTTGATTGTTCACCATCTTCTTCGATCTAAGTACCTGAATGGCAAATATAACACCATACTGCCACGTCTCCTTTACCGATACAAAATCGCTTTATGAGCAATTTCTAAATCGATGTTGTCATTTCCGACGTTCTGCTGAAAATGCGAAAACCACCAGCAATCACGTGCGATGTGCTCACCACTCCCGACAAAAAGACGGTTTGTAAAAATGTTTTATGATTGTTTCTTATTCGATAAAATTTCATTTACATCCTTCTCTATATGCGCGTTCTTC